CCTCGACACGCGCGCCATGGAGGCCTCCCTCCCGCTGGAAAAGCTCCAGCGCGTGCGCGCCGTGTCGCAGTCTGCCCTGTCCTCTCCCTTCATCACAAAGCGCGAGCTGCTCTCCCTGCTCGGGCACCTCAATTATGCCATCCGCATTGTTCCCCAGGGCCGCTCTTTCATTTCGCGTCTTCTCACCCTCGCGGGTTCGGTCCCCTCCCTGCACGACACGGTGACCCTAGACGACGGGTGCCGCTCCGATCTGGACTTCTGGTCGCGCCTACTGGACCGCTGGAACGGCGTTTCGTTCTTTTACGACGATATCGTCCGGTCCTCCGACGATCTCCGCTTCTACACGGACGCTGCCCCTTCCTTGGGTTTTGGGGGGTTCTTCCAGGACCAGTGGTTCGCCGGGCCGTGGCCCGCTACTTTTCCCCGGAGCATCTCCTCGGCCCTACACGAAATATTCCCAGTGGTCGTGGCCTGCGCGCTCTGGAGTCACACGTGGCAGAGAAAGAGGATCTCTGTCATGTGTGATAATCTCGATGTAGTGGAAGCGTTAAACAAAGGTCGCTCTTCGTCACCCAACATAATGTCCTTTCTCAGACGCATCACTTGGCTCTCCGTTTTAAACAATTTCATCATCACTGCACGCCACGTTCCCGGTCACCTTAATCAAATCGCTGACTGTCTTTCTCGTTTTAAATTTCAGGAGTTCCGGCGCCTCTGCCCCTCAGCCTGCACGGAGCCACGCGCAATCCCTACCATGGATCAACTAACACTGGATTAATTTCACCTTCCCTCTCTCACCTCCTCTCCTCTGCTTCATCCTACATGAAAAAGGGCCTCTCCCCCTCTACTCTGTCTACATACAGCTCCGCTTGGAGAGCCTATTCCCTCTTCTGCCACGCTCACAACATTTCTTTGTTACCTCCATCTGTATCTACTGTCATGGCTTTTATAGTCCACTGCTCGGACAATCTCCATTACAAAATAACTTACATCCGTACACTGCTCTCTGGGATTCAGTTTCAGGCCCGCTGTCATAACCCCACCTTCTCCTCTCTATTCTCCGAACCCTCCATCAAACTCCTCATCAAAGGCATTCACAAGTGTACTCCCCACTCTTCTGATCACAGGCTCCCCATCACGCTGCCCATCCTGGAACAGCTCTGCGCCACACTGAACTCTGGCTCTCTTTCCAAGTACACGTCTGCCCGTCTGCCGCCTTCTATGGCTTTCTCCGCATAAGCGAGTTCACCACTGCTCACTCGACTTTTAATGCGGCCCTAGACATTGCTTTTTCCGATCTGTCCTACTACCCTGACCACTTCAACCTTCATCTCAAACATTCAAAAATCAAAGGTGCCTGCAACATAATAATAGCTCGCTCTGACACATGTCTCTCCCCTACAAGTCCATGATGCGTTACACTCGCCTCCGCTGCAAAAAAGGAGATTCTAACGGACCTCTATTTCTCACTCCAGACAACCTTCCCATGACAGCAACCTGGTTCAGAGCTCAGCTAAGATCCCTACTGCTCGTCTGTAATTTGTCTCCCCAGCTCTATACAGCCCACTCCTTCAGGATAGGCGCTGCCACGCGCGCAGCCTCGCTGGGGCTCCCCCACTCTTCTCTGCAACAGCTGGGGCGCTGGTCCTCTTCGGCTTTTTCCACCTACATCAGGCCAGACGCGTCCGCTATCATGGCAGCACAACGTCAACTGGCTTCCTCGTAAGCTCCCAGCAAAGCAATGCAAAGCAAAAGTAAGTAAAGCAATAAGATTCTGGTGGCGGCACGCACTTTCCTCAAACGCTCTCCGCTGCTGCAGCGTCTGGCTAAATATGAGCATGCGCGCATGTTCTCAGCTCGCTCAAAGATTCCCCTGCTTCAGCGTCTAGCTGAATATGAGCACGCTCATATTCTCAGCTCGCTCTGCCTAAACAAACGCGGGCCCCAGCGGACGCAGCCGGCTGAGCGACCGTGCGAGAAGCCTCTCACTCATGCTCTCAGGCCCGCGCAGTGCGTCCTGCTATCCCAATCGCAGACCCGCTTTTTGGGGATTATGCACGCGAGCAAGCGCCGCGCTCAACAGCATCCCTCCCGGGCCTAGGGCGCCAAACATGCTCAATCTAATAAACATGCTTAAATCTAATAACTCTAACGGCATTTTCCTTATGGGTGTCTCCAAGGTGAAATGGAGCTTTCGCAAAAGTTCACTGTGGTAGACCCGGCTGCTGCTGCCCAGGCCACAGGCTGCTCTTCCTCGGCTCATCATACCAGCAACGCCCACATCCAGTCAACCAATAACCACTAGGACAGCAAGTTAAAAGCCGGAGACGCCCACTTCCCGGCCTTCTGAAGTCTGCAAGCCTCCGCCGCCCCACCTCCTCCTTTTCTCATCAAAGCGTGCTTGCCTACCGCCTCTGCCGCCACCAGTGCCTAGGCCCCGGGGGGATTATGCACGCGAGCAAGCGCCGCGCTCAACAGCATCCCGCCCGGGCCTAGGGCGCCAAACATGCTCAATCTAATAAACATGCTTAAATCTAATAACTCTAACGGCATTTTCCTTATGGGTCTCTCCAAGGTGAACTAAAGCTATAGATTTTATACTAGCTTCTTTATTATGCTAAAGTAGAGATTTTATACTAGCTTCTTTTTTATGCTAAAGGTAGATTTTATACTAGCTTCTTTATTATGCTAAAGTAGAGATTTTATACTTGCTTCTTTATTATGCTAAAGGTAGATTTTATACTAGCTTCTTTATTATGCTAAAGCTACAGATGTTAAACTATCTTGTAGCTTAGCTGTTCTAATCCAAGTTGAAAACCCTTTTTTAATGATTTTACCTGTACTCTTATATTATTTATGATTTTAATTCTTTGTGTGATTGTTGATCTTGTTGTGTTAAGCCTTTAGTGTGAATTGTGCGACACAAATGAACTTGTCTTTTTTTAACTGTACAAAAATGACCCCAAATAACACGTTAAACACATAAAAAGTCATAAATGACAGACACACACGGTTGAGTTTCTACTTTATTAAGAACGCTCGAGGGCAGTCCCGGACTCTCTTCACTTGAGACTAATACTTTACAAACTAGATAAAAAAGAACATAAATAAATTACATGTACCGCGAGCTTCGACCCAAACATGTACAAAACGTTAGAACCCAATGGCATCTGGAGACCTTTTTTTAGTTTTTTTTTTTCATTTTTTCTCATGTTTTAACAAAGGAAAGTGATGTCTTGTTACATTCTGGGGGGTTTCTCTTTCTTGCATATCACCAGGACAGGTCCAGGACTTTCTCATTCAGAAGCCGAGAGAGTCGAGAAAACACACGGTGGGGGCGGGTCTTCGACTTTAGGACGGAGGCGCCGGCTTCGCTCCAAACATTCAAGAAGGTGATTTGAAAAATAAAATATTCAAAAAAATAAAGATTGGGTTTTAAAGTTTTCTGCGGAGGTTTTTTGAAAAAAAGAATCCCTTCCCTGCAAGATTTGTCTTTAATTTAAAAATATGAGAAAGAGAGGAGAGAGAGACAGAAAGAGAGAGACAGGAGAGAGACAGAGAGAGACCAGAGAGAGACCAGAGAGAGACCAGAGAGAGAGACCAGAGCAAGACCAGAGAGAGAGACCAGAGAGAGACCAGAGCAAGACCAGAGAGAGAGACCAGAGAGAGACCAGAAAGAGAGACCAGAGAGAGACCAGAGAGAAAAAAGAGAGACCAGAGAGAACAAAGAGAGACCATAGAGAGACCATAGAGAGACCAGAGAGAGACCAGAGAGAGACCAGAGAGAGACCAGAGAGAGACCAGAGAGAGACCAGAGGGAGACCAGAGAGAGTGAATGCTTTTGTTACAATGAAAAAAAAAAAATCTTAAATATTTTTTTAGATAAAAACTAAAATCTAAAATAACATCAACATTTGTCTCTTTGTATTTTCATAAAATCACATTTCTCTGATATTTCCTTCTGCAGCGAAATGGACCGAGAAAAACAAAACAATTCATTATCAATACTGTCTCACTCTAAGGTTTCTCTTTTTCTCCCTCATAAACACTCTCTCTCTTTCTCACTCTCTGGTTTCTCTCTCTCTCTCCCTCAAACACTCAGTCACTTATCTCTTTCACTCTCACAGACTCACTCTTTCTCTCCCTCTCTCTCACTCACACACACTTTCTCTCTCACTCTTAGACTCTCTCTCACACACACAGACTCACTCTTTCTCTCTCTCACACACACTCACTCTCTCTTAAAGACTCTCTCTCTCACACACGCTCTCTCTCTTGCTCACTCGCTCTCTCTCAAAGACTCTCTCTCTCTCACACACTCCCTCACTCTCACTCTCTTGCTCTCACTCACTCTTTCTCACTCACTCTCACACTCACTCTCTCTCTCACTCACTCTCTCTCTCACACTCACTCTCTCTCTCACACCGTGTGGTTTTACATGCGACCGAAAGAGAATAGCAAAATAAAAAAAAATTCAAAATAAAAGCACACATTATTTGCTGGAGTATTTTACATTCTTCTCATTGTCTTTTTCTTTTGAAGCCGTGAAAGCATTCGTCGCAAAAAAAGTTCATATTTGTCGGTAAAATGTTCATGGATTTGAGGGAATTTTGAGAATTATTTTTTCTAATGTGAGTAATTTTACCTTTAACTAAAACAAAATATGAACCAAAATACATTTTCCTAATGACAAAGGGTAACGACAAAGACAAGAGAGAGACCAGAGAGAGAGACACGAGAGAGACCAGAGAGACAGACAAGAAACAGACAAGAGAGAGACCAGAGAGAGAGACCAGAGAGAGACCAGAAAGACATGAGAGAGCGAGAGAGACATGGGACAGTTTCAGAATTCTCTAATTTCTTAATGTTTTAAACGATTAAAAATTCCCTTAAATTCGGATTCATTTTGACGTCTGGAGCAAACATGAACTCATTCAGTCGTTCCTCAGTGCAGTCCATGAGTTAGCGATGTGAGCACGGATGCTAGCTCCCAGGTTTCCTCAGGGGTTGGGTTCGCCGGAAGGAGAGAGAGAGGAGAGAGAGCAGGAAGAGCAGGTTTCTGTGGCGCAGAGAGAGTCGATGGACCCAGGATCGTGATGGAGGCTGCAGCTGTGGACAGAGAAGAATGTAAAAAGTCAAACATGAGAGCTCAAAGTGGCTATGAATGTGCCTTTACCTCTATTTTATCTATATATTTGTATTCAGTGGTTTATTTGAATAGGGACATACACATTAATGAACATTGCTGTAAAAGTGTCAGTGTTAGCTAACAGCTAGTTTCCAACTGTCGTTGCTTTTAGGTCCTTCCTGGTTTTTATCCCATGACAGATTATATGCACAGCCCAACGCTTTGGACTCACACTAAAACTAGTCTAAATCATGACTAAAATTGAACATACAATTTAAACTTCCCAACACAATGCAAAAAGTGAGAAAAGTTAGAACGGCGGAGATAGGCGTGACTCTGTCCGTTAATATATACAGTCTATGGTATTAACTGACCTAACGGCAGCATGTAGAGATTGAACAGAAGAGGTCCCAGGATCGACCCCTGTGGTACTCCACAGGTCAGGGCCATATGATCTGAGACACAGGTTCCAATCTCCACAAAGTACTTCCTGTCTTCAAGGTAAGACCTAAACCAACTTAGGGCGGTGCCAGCGACGCCAACCCAGTCCTCTAGTCTCTGTAAGAGGATCTCATGGTCGACGGTGTCAAAGGCAGCACTCAGATCTAACAAGATTAAGATTGAGACTTTGCCTGCGTCAGTGTTCAGCCGGATATCGTTTGTAACCTTGACGAGGGCCACTACTACCACTACTATTCTTGTGTTTCATATGACGTCAGGGCAGTAGCGCGAATAACAAACGTAGGACCGGACGTGACGTACCCTGGCGGTGCAGTCTGCCGGGTTTATACACGGAGATATAGTAGAAGAAGAAGAAGCGCTGTCAAAATGCCATCTTTTTGTGCAGTGTACGGTTGTAGCAACCGCACAAATAGAGAGAGACAAGAGTTTGTTCATGTTCCAACTGTGGTCTCATATAAAGGAGGACACTTTTCACTGGAATGAGGCGGGCAAAGTTGATCAAGGCTTTCTTCTGGTTTTTTCCCCCAAAAATGCCCGAAATCAAGACTCTTTTGATAAATATTTGTTAGCGCTCCCTTAGAATTGAGTGTCCCCGATTAAGACTGTTCCAACAACCGTACACCCCACAGGAGGAGAGCCTTTTGACTCCAAAACAGACTTTACATGGTTTTCAATGGGAGCAAAACTGAGTTGTCCCATCTCTGCTCATGCGCCCCCTACAGGCCAGGTTCATGAAACCCAAGAATTCAATTAAATTCCATCCAATTCAATTTATTTTTGTACAACAGCAGTCGTCTCAGAGAACTTTACAAAGTTGTCAACAAGACCCTCCTACATCGGCAAGAAAGGAACAACTCAAAAATCCAGTGGGAAAAACAAGGGCGCACTACATACGTCACGGTACACTCAGATCCAATGATTTCAATCTGCTAAAGGAGTTAACCCCTCCCACCTGTTAACGGAGTCAATGGAGCGCCTCCAGACCTTAGTACAGAATGTAATTTGTACTTTGGTGTGGTACAACCAGGCTTTGAGAGGTTTTGTCAATTTTTTTCTTACATCCACATTATTCCATCAGTGTGTGGAAACTCGTGGACCCAAAGAGTGACTGCCTGAACCAGGAAGTCCAGGGAAAACCACTGCTACATCCACTGCTGCTGGCTTTACGCATGAAGGACTTTACAAAACATTAGAACGGACGACAGGCGTGTAATTAAACAGATAAATGTGACTGTAGCGGCATCAGAGAGTCCATCAAACCAGCGGAGTCAATCACAACATGCTAACAGTCAATCACAACATGCTAACACGACAGATCAATCAATAACAGCGTGTCTATAACAGCCCAAGGCCTTTTAACGATTATTCCCTCTGTAGCTGCAGTGAAGGAACCATGAACCACTTGTGTGTCCCTTAACATGGTCTTGAGAATATTTATTAAGTTAGGTTTGAGATAGAATAATTTAGACAGAAGGGGCGGGCCTGCAGATGTGTGTTCTGTTGGAATTTCATTATTGGTTTAAGTCACAAATATAAAACAAATATCTGTAGTTTTTAGAATTTTCTTATAACCATTGCGATTATTTGCAAATGAGAAGCTAAACTGAAAATTGACGAAAGAAATTAACGACAATTCTCACTTAAAATCCAACTAAGTTAGACAAGTCTGGACTCTCACTTTCCATTAGCTTAGCCTGGTCTTACCACAACATAGTACACATTTCATTTTGTACTAAGGTCTGGATTTGCTCCATTGAGTCCGTTAACAGGTGGGAGGGGCTAACTCCTTTTGCAGATTGAAACCAGCTTAGCCTTGATTTAGCCATCTCCTTTGCCGCTAACGGAGCCCGTGGGGAGTAGAGCCACAATTTTTGCAAGCGAATACATTTGCTAAACATTCCTCTTGCTCCGGCTTCCTATTCTTGATAGAACCAGAACAGAATACTTTACTATCGCATTCTTCACCAAACTACAACCTGCCCGTTCGACGCAAACTCTTGACGTCACCCAAGACTAACTACAACACCAGCCTCCCGCGCACTCTGATTGGTCGGATGTAATTCAACCGACTGTAATGGCAAACATAGGGACCAGACCCAGACGTTACATGCAGTTAAATTATTATTGATCAGAGTGTACGGATGGATAAGGGTACCATTAGCTGAAAAAACAACCAAAATACACTTCATTTTAGAACTAAATGACCCTGATCATAAGTCTCCATGACGTGTTTTTCCCTGTCTATTTTTTGTCCGGGACTCCCTTGAAAAAGAGGTTCTCATCTCAATGGGACTTTCCTGTTTAAATAAAGATTAAATAAAAACAACAAAAAGTCAGCTTGGAATATTTTGTGTCATAATTCTCTCCAATGTAAAAGCCATCCATTCTTCTTCAAAATTCAAGTTTATTAGACAATATACAGCTTCAAACAATCACCAACAGCTAGCGGTGGATCTGGTGGAATTGCAAATGTAAGTAATAGATTAGCCACCTGATAATTGCTAATTATCCTACCTATTTTCAAACTAGTCCCTGATTAGTTGGACTTTCTTCCCGGCACTTTCCCAGCTCTGGTCTCTCTCTCCTCGTCTCCAAACCCCCAAAGACGCTCCTGCTTTACACCCAGATCACGACACCTCCATTGGCCGCAGACTCTAGATCAATAGCCCCCTGCTCTGGTGCTGAGGCTTAGCAGCACGGAGCTAGCATGCTAATGACCACCATGTTTAGCACTGGACTTAATCCCACCAGCAAGCCTCATACATACGATTATTATTATCCACACGGCAAAAAAATGATCAAATATGAGGTGATATTGGCTTGAATCCAGTGGTTTTTATTCTTATCTGCGCTCATTCAGTGTTAAAACAAGATTCTCCAACGGGACAAAGCCATTTTTTCTTATTTCAAGAACTGTTGCTTTATTTTCTCATTCCAACTCTGCAAAAAGTGATAAAAAACAAGTCAAAAATTGCTCAAATTTAGCAAAATGTATCTTAATTTGAGCACATTCTGACTGAGCCTTAGAACAAAAAGGGTGACAGTAGCTCAATTGGTAGAGCATTGGCCTTTGAGCCTGAAGGTTGCGGGTTCGAGCCCACCATGAGACATTCTCCACCCACTCCCACTGAGGACTGCTGTCGTTGTGTCCTTGGGCAAGACACTTTACCCCACTTTGCCTGAAGCCCCCGCTGAAAGATCAAGGCACCTGCAGGAGGATCAGTGAGGGGCTGGTGCTCTGTGTACTGGGTCTGACTGCCACCCCCCCAACCCAGAAATGGATTAAGGTGAAGAAAATGGATGGAAGGAGAATGAGAAAATAAAGCAACAGTTCGATACATAAAACTAAATGGCTTTGTCCCGTTGGAGAATCTCTTTTTAACACAGTCAAAATGTGCTCAAATGACAAGAAAAACACTTGATTCAAGCCATTATTACCTCACATGTGATATCATCAAGAGACATTTCTTGTATCTTTTTAAAAGTAAGTAATCTTTATTTCTATACCGCCTTTTCACTGCAGATCTGAGTCTCAAAGCGGTTTACAACTGTTAATTTTGGGCATTTGTCTCTCACTCCACACAGAGATGGGAGCGGAGTCGCCAGTACAGGAGGCGCATGCCTGAACTATTGGACATATTTTTAGTGGTAGGGGAAACCGGAGTACCCGGAGGAAACCTACGCAGGCACAGGGAGAACATGCAAACTCCACTCAGAAAGGCCCTGGTCCAACCGGGATTTGAACCCAGGACCTTCTTGCTGAGAGGCGAGAGTGCTATCCACTCAGCCACCGTGCCGCCCAAAACAAGATCATTTCTCTCATTGTCCTGTTTGTAAATCCTGTTTTAAAGCAGTCAGAATGTGCTCAAAATAAGACTCATTTAGCCAAATGTTGAGCCATTTTGACTTATCTTTCTTCCCTTTTTTGCAGTGCACTCATGGACCACACATTTCCACTTTCTACCGATAACGTTTGATAAATGCCGATGCTTTTCTTTGGCCGGAGAATTGATAAAGATAATTTTGAACCTTCCTTTGCTTTGATAAAGATAATAAAACTCAAGATAAGCCCTCGTCAGCAGCACGCCATGCCCCATTTGAGGCGATGGCGTTTAGCGGTGAAGCCTCAAACACCAGTCACTGCGGTTCATTAAAAAGTCTAACGGAGGCTGCGCTGTTGCCTTTTCCCGAGAATGTGTTTGGAGTTGGAATAGTCCATAACTTTGTGAGGTTGGACGTAAATGGCCTTGTTTATGAGTTAGCGTACGGCCGTCCACCGCACACCGGGATAATGTAATGCAAGTTTAATGAGCGAGAGAAAGCGACGTCTGAAGAGGCTGAAGTGGAAAAGAATGAAATGGTTTTATCGATGCACACGGCCAAAAGTGATGAAAGAAACGACAAAACATTCTCAAATATGTTAAAATGTGTCCTATTTTGAGCACATTCTGCCTTAAAACAAGATTCACCAACGGGACAATGAGCAAAATGGTCTTGTTTTAAAAAGGTATGGCTTTGTACCATTGGCAAATCTTGTTTTATCAGAATGTTCTCAAATGAAGGTTAAAAAAAAACTCAGCGACAAACTATTACTTAAATGTTGTCGCAGTAAATGAGTTTGCAGATCTAGTATAAAATATCCAAATACATCTATACTAAATATTAACTTATATATTATCTATTTTCCCACTGTGCGAGCATAAGGAATTCTTTTGTAGCGTTTTATATATCATTATTTTTTTCCTACATTTGATGTGAAATCATAAGCCCCTTTTCCCCCAGGCCTTGCGTTCCCATTAAGCTAGTATCAGGTACTGTATCCTAGCAACCGACCAACAACAAACCAGTATCCAGGGAAATCTGTCAGTTAGGTCCCGTTTCAAACCAGGTCTAGTCTAGTCTAGCCTAGCCTACTCTCTACTCTACCCTACCCTACTCTACTCTACCCTACCCTCTACTCTACCCCACTACTCTACTCTACCCTACCCTACTCTCTGCTCTACCCTACCCTACTCTACTCTACCCTACTACTCTACTCTACCCTACTCACTCTCTGCTCTACCCTACTACCCTACTCTTCCCTACCCTACTCTATCCTACTACTCTACTCTACCCTACCCTCCCCGACCCTAATCTCTACTTTACTCTACCCTACTACTCTATTTTACTCTACCCTACTACTCTACTCTACCCTACCATACCCTACTCTCTACTCTACCCTACTACTCTATTTTACTCTACCCTACCATACCCTACTACTCTATTCTACTCTACCCTATCCTACTCTCTACTCTACTCTACCCTACTCTACTACTCTACCCTACTCTACTCTACTTTACTCTACCGTACTACTCTACCCTACTCTACTCTACTACTCTACCCTACTACCCTACTCTACTCTATCCAGGTAAAGCTTGTACTAAAGCATAGAAACCAATGGATGATCTTGGCGCTCGGAACGATTTCTGAATAGAATTAGAACCGGCCGCACAGAGCCATAAGAAAATGTTGGATTATTCTTTTAATATTCAGGACGTGTGTTTTCTCTTTGAAGGAAGATTGTTTTAGTCTGTGAGTCTGTTGACAAATTTACTGACAGAGCCAAACATAAATAATGTATTATCAATGTTATCATTAAATAAAATACGGCCTTGCTTAAATAGGTTACATACATCATTTTAATATGTTTAAATAAACACTGAACCAGTCCGGCCCTCGGCTTCTAGCAAATTAGTTTTTTTGGCCTCTGATGGATTTGACTTTGACCTCCTTGTAATTAAGTGTTCTGAACAGGGCTTTAGTAGTACTCCACCAAGTTCTGAAAATGTACTTGGTGATGGTAAAACAGGGCCAATCGAGGTTGAGTAGAGCCGAGTAGAATAGAGTAGGGCTGGTGGAAACGGGGCCATAGACCATATAGATGGTGAATGCTAACCTTGGCTCCAACTCTCTCTGGCTCCAATTGACTTACATTGAAAAGTAAACTCCTTTATCTCAGTAATGTGTGGAATCATCACCAGGAGAAGTTCCATGGGTTAGAGATTAGCCAACGCCTCAGATAATCCAACAAAAACCAAATATTTCACCATTCTCTATTGCAAATGTGGTGATGTCAGAGAACTAGACGCTCACCTTGTATGACGCGTCCACCGTGGACCAACTCGAGTTTCGTTGATCCTCGTCCCTGCGTCTTCTGCAACTTTTCCACAACTCTTTATTCCTTCAATCTTGCCTCTGTAAAAACGTGGGCGCAATCCCGATCACTCCCCAAAACGAAAAAGTGTAAAATCCACAGCTTTTATCCAAGTTTTGAAACAGAGAACTTAGTGGGAAGACTGTTGGGACCTGTTTCCTTTTCCTTTTACAATCAAAAACTCTCTCGCCATATTCCCCGAAAGCTACTTCAGCAAGCAAAAAACAACAAAGACATTTCCATGGACGGTAGCTTCCATCTCAACCTTGAATTTCTTGAGTTTTTTTCACCGGTAAAACTCCTCATTTTTAGTCCAGCTGCAATGAGAAGCCACACTGTCAAAGTTTGTGTAGATTTAGTGGATGAAATGAAGCAAGACTGAGTGAGAATTGATTCCAGAGACAACAGAATCAACAGTTCTTTGCTCCGAGAGGTGGAAGAATCTCATATAGTTCCCCGGGTTTTCCAAAAAGGCACTCCAATTTATCCTTGGAAGCACTCAATCCTTCCGTGCGTTTGTCGGTCCGTCTATATATCCAGGAAAAGAGTCAAATTTCTCTCAAACAAAACCAAAAATCAAATTCCCCTCCGTTAAAAAGTGCTGTTTTTCCGCCGTTTCTTCTTCATCGTCGACATCTCTTCTTGAAAAATCCAAGTAAAGTGCATGGATGAGGTAAACTATAACGTCATAGTTTCGTGTTTTTATGTTGTTTTTTGTTTTTATTTTTTTATATAAGAAAAGAAGTCGAGCCAAAGTTCCTGTAGCTTTTCCTGTGGAAGTGTCTCAAACAGGAACCATCCTTTCTTGCATTTGTTGCATTTGGGACAGCATTCCCTGGACGCTGGTCAGGATCTTGTTCTGGTGGGGGGAGGAGGAGATGCCGATTCGAGCCATGTCTCTGAAAAATATGGAATAGGAGAGATTGAGGATTAGGATTATGATTACGGGCAAAGAAAATAACACAGAAATAGTAGTAGCAGTTGTAGCTGCAGTTGTAGTTACAGCAGTAGTAGTATTTATAGCAGCAGTAGTAGCAGTAGCAGTAGCAGTAGTAGCAAGGGACTAATGCAGTTTCCTTCAAGTACTGTATCTATATATCTAAGTATCTATATATCTATCTATCTCTATATGCTGAGGACTTTTCCCAATTCAATACATTGTTACTTTACTGTGGAAAAGTAACAGTAACATTCTGAAAGCCATGGATACTAGAAGATTATGATAGATGGATACAGAGTACTTCCATCCATCCATTATCTTCCCCTTAATTCACAGAGCACCAGCCCCTCACCTCCTGCAGGTTTGGGGCAATGGATGGCTGCTCTGTCTGTGAGAGCATGGCCTTGGTCTTTCAGTGGGGGCTCCGGCAAAGTGGGGTTAAGTGTCTTGACACAACAAGACACAACAAGACAACAGCACACATTCACAAGAACACAATAACACACATCCCCAACTCTGTGTGGTACTCACTCCTGTGTCATGTGACTAACTCTGTCTGGTACTCACTCCTGTGTCATGTGACTAACTCTGTGTGGTACTCACTCCTGTGTCATGTGACTAACTCTGTGTGGTACTCACTCCTGTGTCATGTGACTAACTCTGTGTGGTACTCACTCCTGTGTCATGTGACTGATGGTGCTTTCAGACCGGATCATGCGTTGCGTCGGGTTTCAATGCAAAGTCTATGGTGGCGCGCGTTCGACCGTCACAACGCACGGACCTCTCGGCACGCACGAATGGACTGTTCAATAATGACGCACGGACTTGGCGGGAAAGTGAAAAGGGAGGAGCACGAGCGAAAAATCAACGCCCACAGGAGATGGATTCTGCTCATTCTTTCCTTGGGACGTTCGTGCGACAACCAATCAGAGCCGCAAAGTGGTCACAGGGACATGAGTGGACTGAGCGAGCAGACTGAAAATACTCGTAAACAGCCAAAACGGGACCCACACCAGGCTTCACCAGAACTCAAACCAGGGTTAACAATGGGGGACTGTGTGCTTGTGAAAATATGCGTTGTCATGCTCCCGTGACCTTATGCAACTGCTCAGAGTGTGTTTGCCGATGCGGAAAAACCGTTGTATAATATGAAAAAACGTATGGCGCACCTCCGTGAACACGTACTATTGTTATATAAAGCGCGTGGAATGTCTGTGAGCAAAGACACGCTGCAAAGCTGCATATTGGAGAAGACCTGTACGCAAGAAGCCGCTAGCATAGCTCTGTTAGCATTAGAGCCGGCCGGCTACTTCCGGTACTTCCGGCTCGCGTCAGGACGTTCTGGTGTGAAGACCTCTGCGTCTGAAAACTAGAGAATGCGCGTCTCGTGAGCGGGGCTTCAGCGTTTCAGCGTTGGCGGTCTGAAAGCCCCATAACTCTGTGTGGTACTCACTCCTGTGTCATGTGACTAACTCTGTGTGGTACTCACTCCTGTGTCATGTGACTAACTCTGTGTGGTTCTCACTCCTGTGTCATGTGACTAACTCTGTGTGGTTCTCACTCCTGTGTCATGTGACTAACTCTGTCTGGTACTCACTCCTGTGTCATGTGACTAACTCTGTGTGGTACTCACTCCTGTGTCATGTGACTAACTCTGTGTGGTTCTCACTCCTGTGTCATGTGACTAACTCTGTCTGGTACTCACTCCTGTGTCATGTGACTAACTCTGTGTGGTACTCACTCCTGTGTCATGTGACTAACTCTGTGTGGTACTCACTCCTGTGTCATGTGACTAACTCTGTGTGGTTCTCACTCCTGTGTCATGTGACTAACTCTGTGTGGTACTCACTCCTGTGTCATGTGACTAACTCTGTGTGGTTCTCACTCCTGTGTCATGTGACTAACTCTGTGTGGTTCTCACTCCTGTGTCATGTGACTAACTCTGTGTGGTTCTCACTCCTGTGTCATGTGACTAACTCTGTGTGGTTCTCACTCCTGTGTCATGTGACTAACTCTGTGTGGTTCTCACTCCTGTGTCATGTGACTAACTCTGTGTGGTACTCACTCCTGTGTCATGTGACTAACTCTGTGTGGTTCTCACTCCTGTGTCATGTGACTAACTCTGTGTGGTACTCACTCCTGTGTCATGTGACTAACTGTGTGGTACTCACTCCTGTGTCATGTGACTAACTCTATGTGGTACTCACTCCTGTGTCATGTGACCAACTCTGTGTGGTACTCACTCCTGTGTCATGTGACCAACTCTGTCTGGTTCTCACTCCTGTGTCATGTGACTAACTCTGTGTGGTTCTCACTCCTGTGTCATGTGACTAACTGTGTGGTTCTCACTCCTGTGTCATGTGACTAACTCTGTGTGGTACTCACTCCTGTGTCATGTGACTAACTCTGTGTGGTTCTCACTCCTGTGTCATGTGACTAACTCTGTGTGGTTCTCACTCCTGTGTCATGTGACTAACTGTGTGGTTCTCACTCCTGTGTCATGTGACCAACTCTGTCTGGTTCTCACTCCTGTGTCATGTGACTAACTCTGTCTGGTTCTCACTCCTGTGTCATGTGACTAACTGTGTGGTTCTCACTCCTGTGTCATGTGACCAACTCTGTCTGGTTCTCACTCCTGTGTCATGTGACTAACTCTGTCTGGTTCTCACTCCTGTGTCATGTGACTAACTGTGTGGTACTCACTCCTGTGTCATGTGCACCACGGTCTCTGGAGTGGTGTATCCGGCGGCTGTGAAGTTGTCGCAGTATCGTTCCATCCCGATGGCCCTGAGCCAGTCCTCCACCGTCCCAGCAGAGGCAGGGGGCTCTGGGCTGCCGGGCTCTAGCAGAGAGGGGTTCGACCGGCTGCGACACACACACACACACACACGCACACAGACAGACACACAAACACACACAAGGGGAGAGACGCAGGTTAGAAAGTCACATTTGAACACAGGGAGGTGAGGAATGTGTCTGGGTGAGATCTATCCAGGAGAAAAGTCCAATTATCTCAAACAAAACACACTTTTATTCAGATTTTTCCCTGTAAAAAGTGACGTTTTAGGCCATTTCTTCATTGTCAACAAGAGATGTTGACAATGAAGAAAGTAGTAATAGTACCAGTGGTAATGGTGGCAGTAGTAGTAGTAGTAGTAGTAGTAGTAGAGGTAGTAGTAACAGTAGTGGTAGTCAGGGACGTGCGGTGAGGTTTGTGATTGGGGAGGCACTGACTTTAAAAGTCAGATTTACAATCATTATTCAAATAAAATAGCATTTAATCACCAATGCAATGACATCCACAAACTTTATATACTGTAAAGATAAGAGAACCAGCTTCTTTTAATAATCTCACAACAAATCTAGCTGCTGACTCTGCTCCGCATCAAACAACATCTTTAAGAAGCGCAGGTGCGAGAGACGCGAGGAGAGAGAGACGCGAGGAGAGAGGAGCAGAGAGAGACAGAGAGGAGCAGAGAGACGGAGACGCGAGGAGCAGAGAGAGACGGAGACGCGAGGAGAGAGAGACGCGAGGAGAGAGAGACGCGAGGAGAGAGGAGCAGAGAGAGACGGAGACGCGAGGAGCAGAGAGAGACGGAGACGCGAGGAGAGAGAGACGCGAGGAGAGAGAGACGCGAGGAACATAAACAATAATTTAAACAAGTTGCAGAACTCTTGAGCAGTGTTTGAATCAGTGTTTTTGGGAAAAGCACTACTTTGCCGGTATCTGTCAATGTTCAACATAAAACACAGATTAACAAACTCCTCCCCCGCAGCCGGACTAACCTCGTAAGTCCAGTGGTGGTCTCCCAGTCTATATTAATTCTTTCTTTGTTTGAAAGTCCAATTGAGAAAAAAAATCTTCATTCAAATCATCCATTTTCCAGCAAAAGAAATAGCATTTTGGGCTGATTGTCTGTTAGCAACTCTGGTATGAACTTTATGCTCACTATCACCCCTAGCGGTGAGGCACAGATACCGCCTGCCTCACGCCAAGCTTTTTCCTTGTGTGTTCATCTACGATCAAAAGACTTAAACTAAATATAAATTGTACACACATACGTGCAATACACTACTAAACACTAAGAGGAGTTTAAAAAATGTTTTTAAAGCAGGATATTTGAAACAAACGGTGATATATCAACTGCACGAGCTGAGTGCACTCAGACACACACACACACACTGTGAGGGAGCGGTCTGGGGTGAGGCACGCAGGAGCGCTGCCTCACCTCGTCTCTTTGAATAGGAATAACGGGATTTCGGCGATTTTGACTTCAGAAATGATCAAAACTGATGGGAACCGTGCCGAATATACATTAAAAGCATAGGACAGTGGATATAAATTATATATTTAAACTAAAATAATTATTAGTTTCCAATAATGGCAGGTGAGGCTCTGCCTCCCCTGCCTCCCCTGACTGCACGTCCCTGGTGGTAGTAGCAATTGCAGCAGTGGTAGCGGTAGCAATATTAGTAGTAGTAATAGCAGTAGCAATATTTGTAGGAGTAGTAGCAGTAGTAGTAGTAGTAGTAGTCAGTAGTAGTAGTAGCAGTAGTAGCAGTAGTAGTAGTCGTAACAGTAGTAGTAGTAGTAGTAGTAGCAGCAGCAGGAGCAGTAGTAGTAGTAGCAGCAGCAGGAGCAGTAGTAGTAGTCGTAGCAGTAGTAGCAGTAGCAGTAGCAGTAGCAGTAGTAGCAGTAGCAGTAGTAGCAGCAGCAGTAGTATCAGCAGCAGTATCAGTAGCAGTAGTAGCAGTAGTAGTGGTAGCAGCAGTAATTTTATCTGTAATAAAAACAGAAATATCCATATTTTAATCCTCGTGATTCATTATTCCGCTACAGCATCATACTAAACCACAAAAACCAACTCAGCGTTACGTTCTAATATGTCCCCCCAGGAACTCGCTCCAAGGTAAGGTTCCCCCGTGTGACACACTTAGTTAATCCTTATTTCTTTGCCGACTACATTACAGCCGGCATACTTGGCTGGACTCCTTTATGTTTCGAATGTTCTCCGTGACTCGGCGATGACAGAAATACATCGCTCCCACTTTTCCTTCCTCTTCTTTTCCATACGCAGAGCAGCGAGGCGAGAAGCACTTAAGAGAAAGTGTGGGCCAGGTTTGTGTCGCGCCCTGCTTCGCTGCTTTTTCACTTCATCACGTCTCGCGCTTCAGTTTCAAAGCTAGCAGCAACTTTTTGATGGATTACGTGGTGTCTACCTGTTTTTGTCACTTTACTATAAGTCACTTTGTCCTTTAGCCTCATGCAGCTAACGTGTACAGATGCTTCTTTATTATGCTAAAGCTAGAGATTTAATTTGATTTAATTTTAGCATTTATTTATTGTTATCTTATGCTGTGTGCTTCTCACTCCTATTGTAACTGGGGTATACCTAAACCTGCGTTTTGTGTCAGTAAAAGTATTATGTTATTATGCTTTTACCTGCTTAGAAAACATATTGTCTTAAGCATACTTTCCCTGTGAGTCACTATTTGACTCTTTGGGCTGAGAGCTGATTGGCCGAGAGAAGTGGTCCCATCTTTTTCACATTTCTTTCTGAAAAATCTGATCTAAAATATGGCATTGAGGACAAAAACTAGCATGGTTTTCTGTTTTGAAATCGAGGAACTAGTCAGATGGATTTTGAACTTATTTCCGGGGGTTTTAAAGTTGGGTACCCAGGCTTTAAAACAAGATTTATTTGTTTATTTATTTTCCCAGAAGGCCAAATAAAACAAAATGGCTTCATTTGAATGAGTTTTACAACCCAACAGTGTGTTACACCATTCAAAGAATCGTTTCAATAACAACTAGCATGCTAACATTTCATTATTTGATACTCGGATGGTAAAAAATACGTAATTATCAGAGAGTCCACAGTGTGCTCAATTTAACCTTACAAGCAAAATAAAAATAATTTTGATTCATTTTCCTTTTTTGCAGTGCAGGACTTCCAACGCACCTGTAGCCGGCGAATCACAATCACCCCCAATCTCACACTCGCTTGAACTACACTAAACACCATAAAACAGTTTTCCTTCTAAAAAAAAAAATCCAATTTCCTTGGGCTTGTAAAGGCACCACTTGTGCTAATCACCTCCTGGACTGTGGCGCAGGGTCTTTATGCACACACTTGTTAAACCAGACAGACTGCTGCTGTCCACTCTGTAAACAGGACGTCTCAAAGCGCACTCATTCAAGGTAATGGGATCTCAGAAGGGTATGTGTTTGCTATGGCCCCCGATTCTTTCTTCTGAGAGGCGACTCCATTGATCCATTCAGTTTGATTCATCGTACTGGCCTTCTCGTGTCAATGCAGCAGTAGATTTGAGAGTAAAATGTGTTTACTTTTGGTTGTAAGGGCCGAGATCAGACAAAAACCTCCACTCAAGACTGTGTCAATCCAAAATTATTATTATTATTTTTAATCTATGGGTTGAGTGCAAGGGCAAGGTGGCTAACCAGGGCTAACTCTTGCTAATTTTACCATTTATTTGGACTGGTCATGCTTTTTTTGTAAATCAGTTTTCTTTTTGAGTGGTTTGTTAGGCCAGAATGACAAAAAACACTCACTCAAGACTGTGTCAATAAAAATCTAAGACAAAATATGTTATCAAGAGTTTATTTATGGTCTGAGTTCAAAAGCAAGCGGCTAACAAGAGGCTAACAAGGGCCAACTCTTGCTAGTTTTACCATTCGTTGGACTGGTCATGTTTTTTTTTTTGTAATTCAGTTTTGTTTTTGAGTGTTTGTTGGGCCATAATGACAAAAACCACCCACTCAAGACTGTGTCAATGAAAAATCGAAGAAAAATATGTCAATGGCGACTATTTTAATGGTCTGAGTGCAAGAGCAAGGTGGCTAACGAGGGCTAACACTGGCTAGTTTTACAATTTTTTTGGACTGGTCATGATTTTTTTGCAATTCAGTTTTGTTTTTGCGTGTTTTTTTTACATTGGAAGTAAGTAATCTCAATTAATTCAGCGCATTTCACAGACCAAGGTCACACAAAGCATAGCCCACTTTACAACATTTTAGAGGAACTGGTTGGATGGATTTATGGACAAACTTATTTTTTGTGGTTTGAAGTTTGGTCGCAAGGTTGTAAACCACTGCTGCCCAAAGAGAAAGAGAGCTTGATTCTCTGATCTGTGTCAGTGAAGAACTACTGTTGGTTGGTCTCAGAGAAACGCCTCATTCTCGCCCAGAATATGAGTGATATTCACCGTGTGGCTGGTTCGCTGCCCCCGGTCCGCTTTAGGGTGCTGGGGTTGCGGATCAGTTTGTCCAACATGTTCACGATCTGTCCGAACTTTGGGCGGTCGGCTCGCTCCCGCTGCCAGCAGTCCAACATGAGCTGGTGCAGGGCCACGGGGCAGTCCATGGGAGGAGGCAACCGGTAACCCTCGTCGATGGCTTTGATCACCTGCAGAAATATGTTACAGACAGTTAGAAGTGGAGTGATGGGGTCGGTTTGTGCCTCTGTGAATTATTATGCAACGATAATCCGGGTTGGAAGACCGGATTTACGATGAATCAAAAAATATCATTCATTCATCCCCAACGAACCAATGGGATATGTTTACCCCCTTCAGCCTCTTCCTGTTTCTCAGAGTGCACCGGAGTTATCGGATTTTCTAAAACCTAAAATGACTGAACAGAAAATGCCAATTTCATGTTTGCTTCACTCTCCCTGTGACAAAGACAAGAAAAGGCTGGATGTTTGGTTTGATGGAGAGGTGAGGGGGGGGGGGGGTGGTTTGGTGGAGAGGGGAGGCGAGGGGGTGTGGTTTGATGGAGAGGCGAAGGGAGGGGGGAGTGGTTTGGTGGAGAGGGGAGGGGAGGGGGGAGTGGTTTTGAGTTGGTGCGACGGCTAAGCTAACAAAATTGCTTACTGCACCTTAAAGTAGATTGTGGATCGTCTGAGAGAAACTCCTTACTTTGTTATCATTAAACTCTTTTCACACAAAGAAGTACACACTGGAGTGGTGGTCTTGCACAGTTTTTCCAATGTGGTTTTACGGCAAATGGCAAATAAATGAATCTGAATGGAGCGGTCAGACTCACATCCTGGTTGCTCATGTCCCAGTAGGGTCTCTCTCCGTACGACATGACCTCCCACATGACGATGCCGTAGCTCCACACGTCGCTCGCTGACGTGAACTTGCGATACGCGATGGCCTCCGGGGCGGTCCAGCGGATCGGGATCTTTCCTCCCTGAGACCAGAGGGGAGACCAGAGGGAAGACCATGAGGGAAGACCAGAGAGAGACCAGACAGAAGGACCAGAGGGTAGACCAGAGAGAGAGAGACCAGAGTGGAGACCAGAGAGAGGAACCAGAGAGAGAGAGAGAGACCAGATAGAGAGAGAGACCAGCGAGAGAGAGACCAGAGAGAGGAACCAGAGAGAGACCAGAGAGACCAGAAAGAGAGATGAGAAGGAAGAATCCGTTAATGTGGCAATGAATGACATAAATCCAAGGAATCACATTATAATGGCAGCATTTACATTTTCAACACATTTTTGTGCAAGAACAAATAGACTTTTAGGATCAAACCTTCACTCTTGTTCACATGACCCACATGTAGCAACAGAAAAAAACAGTTTGGCTTTATTGCTGTCGAAAGTGTTGAGGCGGTATAACTAGATCACAAGGCAGGTTAAATGCAGTTGTTTTGCCACAGCAGCCCGTGTCTCAGTGTCTAATCCAGAGACTTTAGCTTGTTTTTTTGGTGGATATTCCCGAGTTTTTGCGCAGTGGGAATGAGCCTTCGGTCTTACCCGTGTGGTGTAGGCCGCCTCGGGGTCGTCCTCTAGCACCCGCGACATCCCGAAGTCCGAGACTTTGCAGACCAGGTTACTGTTCACCAGGATGTTCCGCGCCGCCACGTCTCGATGCACGTAGCTCATGTCGGAAAGATACTTCATCCCTGAAGCGATGCCGCGCAGGATCCCCACCAGCTGGATCACCGTGAAGCGCCCGTCGTTCTTCTGCAAAAACACACAAACGATATATTTAGGCAAGTTTATTAGTATGGCACAGTTCATACAGGCGGCAACTCAATGTGATTTAGAGCAGACATATCATGAAATTTTTTTCTTTTTTTGCTTCTTTTTTGAGCTTTGTAGAATCCTACTTACTTTCACTATTACAAACTATTCACCACCAGTCACTACATGAATTTGCGGAATTCCTCTGGTAAAATGACATTTACATTCTCGGAAAATAAAAATATAATCATAAGTGTGGCCCACTCTCACTACAACTACAATGACTACTATGTTTGAACCAGTTTGGGCGGGTCCCGGTTTAAAAAATGTCCATAATCAAGTGCGCTGACATGCTGCAATACCACTTCTTGCCTGTGGGGGTGTACCCGGAAAAAGAATTACCCAATGCTTTTGAAAGCCATCTTCTTTCCTCTCAAAAACGTCTTTCCAGGATGGTCCAAAAGTCGCTCTTCAGGAGAGTGTATTTTTTCGGACCAGTCTAGTTTAGCTTTTGTGGACTTCAGAATGCACTTGTTAAATGGATGGGGCTAGTGCAGCTAACGCAAGCTAAAATGCGTTTTTTCACATTTTCCTCGCGGCCATTTTGAAACTGCCTATTGAAGTAAAAGTGATGGCACATTAGATTCAATGGCGGAGATAGGTGTGACTACAAAAGGTTAAATCCATAGGAAACACCTCAAAAAGCAAAGAACCAACATAAATGTGCTCCTTTTGTTGGAAGACTTTTCAAAGATAACATTTGGCTCTAAACTTGAGTCCGTGACCTACCCTCAAGAAGGCGTCCAGGGATCCATTCTCCATGTACTCTGTGATGATCATGACCGGTTTACCTGGAAACAGAGACACAGAGACGATTATTGAGATAAGAAAGAAGTCAATCATGTACAGTATGGCAGGTCCTGGAACCAAAGTAAACATTATATATTAACATTTGCTTGAATTAAGTCGTATTTATTGTGATTTGAGCCCAATATGGCTGTCTTTAAACAAGGAATACCAATGGAGGAAGTGTTAAAATGTCTTAATTTTCGCAATTACTCAGAAAATTCTCCAGTGTAAGATCAATAAAGTCTATCTTATCTTGAAATGAGACAAAAAAACATAGACTTCTCTGGGTTAAGGTTAAATCTTCATGGTGAATTGGAAAATCTTGCTTTAAAGGTGATGACATACTGTAGGACCCATTATTTAGTTCCAACTTGAAGATTTACCAGTCGAGAAAAGTTGAACCAATGACGAGAGATCTTACGGATTTGAATTCAATTTGTCTCAGTCTGTCTCAGTCTGTCTCAGTCTGTCTCAGTCTGTCTCCGTCTGTCTCTGCTCTGGTCCTCTGCTCTGGTCCTCTGCTCTGGTCCTCTGCTCTGGTCCTCTGGCCTGGGCCTCCTCACAGCTGTCACTCTCCGGCCGGTTCCCCTCCATCGCTCTGTCTCTCCCTCGACACCTTCACTCTTCCTCTCCCGGAGTCTTTATCAGCGCTGGGAGAGGCTGCAGAGTCTGTGGGTAACTTTTTGTTTTTTTCTCTCCTCGGTGGCTCCTGTCTTTCTTTGTGTCGGAGCAAAGAGAAAAGCAAAACGTGTGGGTTTTTCTGGATTCCAAACAGGAGCGAGCTGACAGAAAGCAGCCTGTGCAGCTCAAGGGAAGTACTCAAAAGTAAAGAGTATATTTAATTTTTAAGGACTATATTAGCAGTGAGCGAGCCTATAAGGGTGAATCTATCATTACAGGCCCTACAGATTCATGTCAGGAGCTGGCAAGAAAAGAGAAAGTACACTGGCTCTTGAATGTAGTGAAATGAAAGTACGTTTTTAATCTATTATTTTAAATAATAGATCCTGTTTGATAATGAGCACTATGACGTTGAAATTTCCACCGAGGGATGTATAAAGGTTTATTTGATCTTAGCTGCACGAGTCTCAAAGATCCATAGAACCTTCACATGTGTTTGTGACTGAACAGTCCTCGGTGTCTGTGACCAGTGACTGACATCACGTTTATTCTGGGGCCCATAAAGAGGAAGTGGTGGAGTCTGGGTCCATCGCTGTCGGCCATCTTTGTTCTCTTTGTTGAGGGCCTCTGCCCCGGGCACAGTTTGATTGACAGCTCCTCAATCAGCTCTGTGGAGCGTCTGACCTGTGGCCTCACGCTCGGCCCCGCCCTCTTCCTCCCTGGCCATTTGCATGCTAATGCTACGCTAACGCCTGTTTACTGAATACACTCTGGCTTTGGCAGTGAACTCAGGGCGCGGGCCCTGACAGAGGGCCGATTATCAGCTGCCATCCACACAGGGAGCCTGCTCCAGGGGTCCGTTGGGGGCCCGCGAGGCTCAGGGGCCCCTCACTTCTACAAACAAAGATCTGCTCTTTAAAAACAGATCCATCTGGAATTAGCAAAGTCCGTGTCTTTGTCACATGGTCTGAACACGCTGCTCTGGGCTTTGATGAAGACTCTTAATGAGATCTTACTCACTTCAAGATGGCGGCGGATGAGTTCAGTGAAAGCTCATTTATGTATTTTACTGCCTATTTGGAGCTCTTCCATAATTAATAAGGCGTAATTGGCCCAGTCGGACATGCTAGCAAACTGAGGCTAGATTGAGAATCCCTTTTAACTTGATTGTAATGGACAGAGCAGTGCAATTCAAATAATGGATTCTTAATAGATTCCTCCGACACAGTGGAGTGTGAAGGACTCATTTACTCAGACGGAGTCTCACGAGGAGACATCAGGCCTCGCTGTGAGTCGCTGTGAGCGCAGGCAGGTGTCATTCAACTGCTCATTTAGCCAGAAGTTTCTACAGACATTAAAGGACCTTTTTACTTGTTCTTTCCGATGCAGAGGGTCTGAGGACAGCGGGGCCCACTCCACATTCAATGATATTTATTAACATCTATTAACATTTATAGACATTGTTCATCTGCTCGTTATGGACCAATGGCTCTATGTGTTTTCAACATTGCATTTCCAGAGTATGAAACTACTAGAACTCCCAGAGCCGTCATTTTGACTGCTCCCATTCAACTCAATTCAATTCTGAAAAGTCTGTGAGTTTAGCATCAGTTTTAATCAAATTGAACTCACTTTTAATAAATGCTAAAACCGGTGAATATAACTTTGCTAACGCTAACTGGTAGCAAGTTAACACTATGTTCATATGCTTACTAGGGCTTGTAACCATAGCTTCTCTACTCCATTTCAAAATAATAGAAAAGATAATTTAACAATGACATACACATAAACTACAGAAAAAATTTGAAATGTACAAATTGACAGTGTTAAATTTAAATCTGCAAAACATTTATTTAAGATTCATATTTTTTTGCCATTTGCCGTAAAACCACATTACTGGAAGTCCTTGAATCCAGCTGTATTCCGCCTGTCTTTAGCGCACTTAGCATCTGTGTCGTGCTGATTAGCCCCCGCTGCACAGATGGATGTTTCTGTCTCTCGCAATATATACGTTGTTCCTTCTCTCGCAGACAGAGATGCAGAGAAGAGGCCGGTGATAGGACCTTATCAGCGCTCACAGTCCTGCCGCAGACTGACCTCCGGCCCACACACCTCCTTTATTTTTGTGAGTAGGTTGAATGTCAAATTTAAATGTGCAAAACAAAAAGTGATTAAAAATAATTGCTCAAATTTGGCAAAATGTATCGTCATTTGAGCACATTCTGACAGAGCCTTAAAACAAGACTTTCCAACAGGGCAAAGCAGAATGATCTTGTTTTAAAAATGTACAGAAATGTCTCCGTTGGAATGAGAATATAAAGCAACAGTTCTTGAAATCAGACTAAATGACTTTGTCCAGTCGGAGCCAAAGCCATTTCCTCGTTTCTGATTCTGATTCATTTCAAGCAATTATTACTTCCTTTTTTGCAGTGTATGTCAAGTCTTTTTAGAATCAGAATACTTTTTATATTGCCATGTGAGTAACAGGAGGTCACAAACTAGGAAATTGCTTTGGCTCTTGATGCAAACAAGTTAAATGAGAATAAAAACAAGAAGGCAAAAATAAGAATCTACAACAAGCTGCAGGTCCTCAGCTGGTTCTTGTTCTTTTGCACCAGAGAAGAGAAAGTGCGAGTTACCATAGCAACACACGATTTAATTGCAGCAGTTAGAATTAGCATTTCAACTGTTTTTACTAAATTTCAAGTTATATAGTCACCGGTTTTAGCACTTAGTATAAGTGGAAAAGGGTAAAAACCTTATAAAACTACACAGATTATAATGGAACTTCTCAGAATTTGGAATGGTTTAGATGGCAGTCAAAATGACGGCTCTGGGAGTTTTAGTAGTGTCCGAATTTTGGGAGTTTTACACATATTATACACACACAGTATTACCATTGAGCTAGCCTGGCCTTAGCCATCCGTACACTCCGCTCAATAATAATTTCACTGCATGTAGCGTCTGGGTTTGGTCCTGTGTTAACGATTACAATCGGTTGAATTCCATCCAACCAATCAGAGAGCGCGGGAGGCGGGTGTTGTAGTTAGATTTGCGGCAAACGGGAAGGTTGTAGTTTTGCAAAGAATGCGATAGTAAAGTATTCCGGTCTGGTTCTATCAAGACACTGAAGCTGGAGCAAGAGGAATGTTTAGCAAATGTAATTACTGGCAAAAATTGTGGCGCTACTCCCAACGGGCTCCGTTAGCGGCAAAGAAGATGGCTAAAGCTAGGCTAAATGCTAACGACTCACTCTGGCTCATTACATATGTCACAGTAAACTCAGATCCAATGGTTTCAATCTACAAAAGGAGTTAACCCCTCCCACCTGTTAACGGAGTCAATGGAGCAAATCCAGACCTCAGTACGAAATGTAATTTGTACTATCGTGTGATACGACCAGGCTACCATTGAGGAGCTGCTGAAGCAAATCCTATGTAAGTCCACACAGTCCTTAAAAGGGATAATCCTTCACTTCATTTTAAAAACATGAACAAAGCTAAGGTCATCCACTCATTTACATTTGGCATTGAACACCGCAATTACAAATTAACGCAATTATTTATATCTGCGTTTCTCATTCTCTCTCTTTCGAAACTTTTCCTTCTTCTTCTGTGGTAAAAAAAAAATGCAAGGGCAGCTACGGCGACACCGGATCCGCGGATGGGGTATCAGCACTAACCCCAAACACATTTACACCTGACACGATGATGGATGGCTCTCTCAGTGGGCTCCGGGGCTGTTCCTGCAACCCCCCTCCTCCCTCCCCCTCCCTCCCCTGTGCACTGGACAACTCCATCTGGCCTTCCCGCCTGTGGGGATATGGGACGGGGTGTGGGAACAGATCCCGGTCTGAGAGATGTGGGACAAACGTGTGAAAACGATAGCTTTCGACGGCTGCGTTTTTATCCTTGGTCAAAGTCGGGGGATTTATGGCGGATGTAAGAACACACGAGTTTGTCTCTTTGTCATTGTGGGGACTATATATAAGCTTTACATTTTTAGCAACGACATTTAGTAGAATTCAACCTCCGCACAGGAAGAGAGACTTAACTCTTTAGGCGCCAGAGCAGAGGATTTTAACTCTAGAATCCAGGATAGAGACACTTTTCTCTAGACTTTTCTCAATTCAATTGTCTTTGTTTATCTTTGTTGTTAATTTTAATACTATACTTGTTCTATTTTGCAGTACATTTCTGAAAAACGCTGATGTTTAAAGAGATAAAAGGAACTAAAAACTGGGAAATGTAACTTCCTCTCAATGAAAAGAGATCAGTTCTATCAGTTCTTGTTGATAATAATAATACATTGGACACAGAAAGACACTTCAGAGGTCTCCCATCCTAGTTCTAACCATGTCCTGTCCTGCTTAGCTTCAGACGGCTGAGATTTCACATGTCCTCTAAAAGTTTGGTTCTATCACTAATCCATTTTTGGACACTCAAAGATGCTTCTCAGCTGCCCTGGGGCACACAGACAGAGGTGTGGCAACCAGTCTGTGCCATCGGCCACTCCTGTGTGTGTGTCTGTGTGTGTGTGAGTGTGTGTCTGTGTGTGTGTCTCTCTCTCTGTCTGTGTAAGTGTGTGTGTGTGTGTATGTCTCTCTGAGTGTGTGTGTCTGTCTGTGTGTGTGAGTCTGTGTATGTGAGTGTGTGTGTGTGTGACGTACACTTGGTGACCACGCCCTCCAGGTGGATGATGTTGGGATGGTCAAACTGTCCCATGATGCTGGCCTCAGACAGGAAGTCCCGCCTCTGTTTGTCCGTGTATCCGGCCTTCAGCGTCTTGATGGCGACACAGATCTCCCGTTTCCCCGGCATCTTCAGACGACCACTGCACACCTCCCCAAACTCACCTGGAACAGACCAAAACCAGACTATGGAACAGACCCAAAACCAGACTATGGAACAGACCCAAAACCAGACTATGGAACAGACCCAAAACCAGACTATAGAACAGACCCAAAACCAGACTATGGAACAGACCCAAAACCAGACTATAGAACAGACCCAAAACCAGACTATGGAACAGACCCAAAACCAGACTATAGAACAGACCCAAAACCAGACTATAGAACAGAACCAAAACCAGACTATGGAATAACCAGACCCGAGTTCATATGGATGGACAAACTAGTCGTGGAAGTGAGAGTTTTTGTTTTCTGTGGATTGGCCCCGGAAGTACAAGAAAATATCTCTGAAAGACTGGAAATCAGACTATAGACTGTTACCAAATGGCCTGCTTTAGCCCTGCTTTAGTCCTGCTTTAGTCTTGCTTTAGTCCTGCTTTAGTTACCAGGATAGAGTTCCCAGCTCTGGACCATTGTGATGTCACATGAAGGCCACACAGTACCAGTTCTTTACGTTTGAACCTGGCCCAGGCCTCGGATCCAAATGAAATCAATTGTTTTGCTCTCGTGCTTTAGAGAAGGGTGGATCGATCCCCCCCACCCTCTGACCCCCCCCCCTCCCCGGCCACTGGAGCGATGAACCATGGGAAATGGCTATTGATCCGTCCTCAACCGCAGATTTAACTGTTTAGACTTTTGTATCTCTCACTCACGGACCTCAGCAACTGCGGACCATGTGGGTCTGGGTCAGTATCATCGTGCAAAGATTTCTGTGTGTGATGTCATTGATCAGCTGGACTCCTGTTAGTGTCCAGACTCAGAACTAAACATGGGGAGGCTGCATTTCAGATTCATGCTGCTAAAATCTGGAACTATCTTCTTGAAAGTGTGAGACAGGCCTCCTCAATGACAATGTTTAAAACCAGGTTAAAAACAGTTCTGTTCAGCTGTGCATACAACTGAGGGATCTTTCTTTTTAATGTACTGTGATTATTTATGATCTTAATGCCTTCTTATTTTGTTCAGCACTTTGAGTTGCCTTGGTATGAACCGTGCTATACAGATAAACTTGCCTTGGTCTCTGTCCTGTATGTGTTTGTTATCGCTGCATTTCTTCACAGCTTTGAAAACGCAGAGATTCCGACAGTTGTGATTTAGGGCTATAAAGACATACAGTGCATTGAGTTGGAGTGAAAACCCGCAGACACAGCATCAAACCAAAACCAACCGATGCCGATGACTTTCTCGATCTTGATGCAGGAGGCGTCGATCTCTTTGGCAAACTCTCTCACGGCTTGGTTCGGGTCTTCGTAGGTGAACGGGTCCACGTAGATCCTCACTCCTGCAGCACAGAGAGAACAGAGACTTTCTAAACTCAGAAAACAAATATAAATGTGAGGAAACGGGAGAAAAATGAAGGTTAATGTCTTCCAGAGACGCCATCTGGTCCTGATTCGCCGGAGATCGAGAAGCGGCCGCGACGACTTGAGGATGGCGCCAACTCGGAACTCGTTGTTGTTGCTTGAGTGCGTTCACAGTAAAGTGTCAATGAAAGTATCTGGATTTTAAAAGGTTATAACTAAAAACTAAATTTACTTTCATAGATTTCAAACACAGACAGATCAAAGAGATAGTGTGGATAAAATCAAAAGGAAAGATTGACAAATATATTTTTGGCGACATTTTAAACGACCAAATCAGCCTCTGATTGGACCATTCTACTGTGACTCAGTTACATAGAAAATAAAATGTCCTCCGTCTGAAAAAGCGGCAGATGAAATCCCACAAGATTTACATGGTTAACACAACATCAGGAAATACCTTGATTTAAAAAATAATCGTAAAAAAATAATAAAACAAACTAAACATTAAATGACCCTTGATAAATGTGTAACGGACGTGATGGTTTCTGCGCATTTTTCTCTAATAATTAAAGCTGCACTAACTGACTTTATTTTCGTATTAATTATGAAAATGCTATCCATGTCCATGTAGTGCATTGGGATATACGTCCTTTTGAAGAAAAAGTAGTGCAGATTTGTGCTGGCCTGACATTATATTTTCGATCGAGTTTTGATGAAACAAGGAAGAGAATGTGTTTCGGGTCGCAGATTGTGGCCAATCACAGCGGACCACTGGCCCCCACTTTCGTGAGAAATCTACAGGTCCGTTAGCATAGACGGCTGAGTTAGCACAACAAGCGGCGGAGCTAACCTGAAACTTTCTCGTCTTCGTCACCGGTTACTGCTTACACAGCGAAACAGCCATCCCAAAGAAAGTCTCGTTCCTCCACGCTTCCTGGTTCTATCGTTCTATGGTCACGGCATCCACGTGCAAATCCATATCCATGTATTATCCATATTGGGAGACGCTAGCTCCGTCCCAACAGTGAGTGTGTGTGGGGGTGATAGCTTCGTGGGTGCGGGGAGGGGAGGAGAAAGAGAGGCCAGCGAGTCCGTGGCTTCAAAATCCCAAAGTCAGTTAGTGCAGCTTTAAACTTGAGAAAAAACTTGGTCTGGTTTTACATCTAATTATTTTATTAAATGAAATTATCACTTTGTTTCTACTCTATGTAAAAAAAAAAATCTCTGAATCAAAAGTGGATCTGAAAATACGTAACAAACTTCAGCTCATTCTGTTAAATCATCAACGTTACATAAAATAAACAGGGCCGCTTTGGGAAACTTGTCTAATGTATAAAACAGTTATGTTCTAGCTAGATTTGAATACATAAAAAACATAAAATATCTTCTGAATATCAAAATCTAATGTTTGTCCTTTTGTCACACTTTTGTGGCCTTTAGTGTGAACAAACTCACTCGCTTTAGACTTTTATGAGAGTCGTTTGTGGTAAATTCAGGCTAATCCTTTTTTTCTATCAATATTTGAAAATGAAAATTCCACGACTCGGAGGCAGCGAAAAGTGAAGGAAAAAGTCAAAAATGGTCCAAATTTGGCAAAGTGTGTTTTAATCTGACTCGTTCTGACAAAACTAGATTCTCCGACGGGACAAACACATTTAGTCTGATTTCATTCCAAAGGAGACATTTCTGTATCTTTTTGTTTTATCCCGTTGGTAAATCTTGTTTTAATGCTCGAAATAAGAGAAATTTTGCCATTTTTTAGCAATTTTTGACATATTTTAACTTATTTTTCACTGTGGAAAGTTTTCTTTTCTCTCGGGTCCACCTTGATGTTGTTTCACAGAATGATCCAGAATAAGGAATCAAGTTTTTCTACATTAGAGACAAGCGAGAGTTGTTTGCTGTGTTTTCGTAGGTCTTATGGTGGTCTCGAACCCACAACCTTCAGGCTCAAAGGCCAATTCTCATTTTTTACAGTGCTTTTCTGGACACTCAGACGCTTCACGTAACATTCATTCATTCATTCACTCGATTTCAAGATTTGGCAGAAAATCATTTACCACAAACGAATCTGTTTGGACGTTTTAGAAGATTGAAGCGACTGCGTGAAGCTGAAGAGAAACGGGAAACTAAAGAAAAATACAGAAATGAGAACGACACAGTTTTCAGCGGGAAAAAGTCAGAGTTCCGCAAACAGATGGAAAATTCTCATACCTGAATATACATATATAAATAACAAAAAGGAAAATCCGTTGTTATGTGTTAGGGTTAGGGTTCAAGTTGTTTTGATATCGGCCCAGATTGTCCCAGACCGGTGCCGACCCAGACCGTGCCAGACTAAAGGTGAGTGTTTGGGACTGACCTTGGTGCAGATGCTTCTCTTCGTCAGCGTCCTGTTTGGCTTTGCTGTATTTACTCCTTCTGGGGACAAACAGACTGGGATCAGGGGCGTGGACCACAGATTGACAACCGCTCTTCACAGATAATGAACAATGTTGTGACGTGGTTAAAAGCTGAAAACTTAGATTTACGCAAAAAGTGATGAAAAATAAGAACAAAATGGCTCAAATTTGCTTAATTATAACAGAGGGCCCTGGTTAGCACTCTCGCCTCTCAGCAAGAAGGTCCTGGGTTTGAATCCTGGTCGGAACGGGGTCTTTCTCAGTGGAGTTTGCATGTTGTCCTTGTGCTTGTGTAGGTTTCCTCCGGGTACTCCGGTTTCCCCTACCACTAAAAACATGCACACTAGGTAAAATCTTCCAGCTCTGGTCTTGACCAAGCCGAGCATCAACATGTGGAGATGGGTTAGCGGGCACTGTTACTACGGCAACCACTGCTCCTGACGTAAGCCTTAGTGGCATCAGAATGGGTCAAATGCAGAGGATTGAATTGTCCTACGGGGATTAATAAAGTGCACCTTTAACTTTACCTTTAGCTAGTAGGTAGATACAGAAATGTCTTCCTTGTAATGAAATAAAATTAAATGTCTTTGTCCCATTGAATAATCTGGGTTTACCACAGACAGAAAAATATAAAGAAACACTTGATTTAAGCATTTATTACCTCAGATTTTATCATTTTTTTGCAGTGTACTAAGTCAAACTTACGGCTCTGGGAGTTCTGGCAGTTTTATATTGTGATACAAGACTTTTTCTTGCTGTAACATCGAGACTTTTGGACTAATACTAGACCCATTTCAGCAGAAACCAAAATCCCACAAACAGAAAAATTGAAATCTTTTCCATATTTATTCCAAGGACATTTCACATATGCCATAAAACATCCAAACATCCTCTAAGCTGCGAGGATTTAGTGCGAGTCGTGCCGAAGATGGACATAAATCCGGCTGAATCCCCTCATCGCCATCGACACCTGTGCCCGCCAGCGGCTTTAAACGCCCGCAATGGAGGAGGAAGTGACCCGACAAACACAATGGGCTGTAATGAAGGCTACATGATGAGATCCACGCCCACAGCATCGCTAACAACGCTAACGACGCTAACGACGCTAACAATGAGAGCTACATGTGGCACGCATACAAAACAGCACCTGCTCCAAGTGTGTCTGTGTCTCTATGTGTGTGTGTGTGGATGTATGTATGTGTGTGTATGGATGCGTGCATATGTGTGTGTGTCTCTCTCTCTGTGTGTGTGCGTGTGTCTCTATGTGGGTGAGCTGTGTCAGTCTGTGTGCGTGTGTCTCTGTGTGGGTGTGTGTCAGTCTGTGTGTGTGTGTGTCTGTGTCTCTCTCTCTGTGTGTGTGCGTGTGTCTCTATGTGGGTGAGCTGTGTCAGTCTGTGTGTGTGTGCGTGTGTCTCTGTGTGGGTGTGTGTCAGTCTCTGTGTTATTTTGTTTTTTACTTTTTTGGGTAAAACTATAGCTCCGACGCTATGGACATGCTATCCCTAAAAACCTTAAAACCTTATTAACTGCAGAAAATGATGAAAAATAAGTCAAAAATGACTAAAATTTGGCAAAAACGTATTTTCATTTGAGCATGTTTTGAACCATCTCCATTATAGTTCCACATGTGCCACGTGAATAAATTGGACGCTCGGCTGGAGACGGGAGCGAGGGAAGAAAGAAACCCTGTCACGCTGCATGCAAATACAATCAGAGCGATACATTTACATGTTAAAGACCTGTGTGCGTTTCAAAATGTGGTCCCAGTACAACAGACGCAGTCGTTAAAATCCACTTCAGTCTCGATCGTTAGCTCCGGGTGACATTTGGACTCACAGTGTCCGGTAAATCCAAACGGAATAGTCCTGATACTGTGGTCTTTAACTTACATTTAGGCCTGGTTTAGTCCTGATTCAGTCTTGGTTTAGTCCCGGTTCAGCCCTGGTTTAGTCCTGGTTTAAGCCTGGTTTAGTCCTAGTTTAGTCCTGATTTAGTCCTAGATTAGTCCCGGTTTAAACTAGGTTCAATCCTTGTTTAGTCCTGGTTCAGTCCTGGTTTAATCTTAATTCAGTCCTGGTTCAGTCCTGGATTAGTCCTGGTTTAGTCCATGTTCAGCTCTGGTTTATTCCTGATTCAGTCCTAGTTCTGAATGAATTCCCAGAAGAGAACCCAAAACCACCTGCTGCTTGGCCTCATCCCTGATTCTCTAATTTACGCCTCGATGCATGAAAATGGAAATAGATTCTGCGTTTCCCCGTGACCTGTTGCCCTGCACCAGACAGATCTACATACTGGAATGGATTGCATTATAATTATTACAGAGACACCTCGACCTTTTTGTATTTTAACTTGTTTGCACCAACATTTCCCAGTTTGTGACTTCCTGTTTGTCACAATGGCAAAAAAAATTGAAAATAATAAAATAAAAATAATAAAGATAATACTTCTTAATGATTCTCAGTTGGTAGAGCATTGGCCTTTGGGCCTGAAGGTGGTGGGTTCGAACCCACCGTAAGACCTACTTCACGACTCCCACTGATGACTGCTGTCGTTGTGTCCTTGGGCAAGACACTTAACCCCACTTTGCCCAAAGCCCCCATCTCAGCTCCTGTGGACTCAGCACCTGCAGGAGCATCAGTGAGGGGCTGGTGCTCTGTGGACTGGGTGCAGCTCTGACTGCCACCCCCCCGACCCAGAAATGGATTAAGGGGAAGAAGATGGATGGATGGATGGATATTTTATCGTTCAGGTCCCGCTCTGATCGTGTCATTGCCGTGAACAGAGAAATGCTTTGGGCGACCCTGGTCTGTAAAATGCGCTACATAAATAAATATTAGATTCTTGTGAAAAAGGAAGTGTTACCTGCGACTGATGACGAAGGCACTGATGAGGATGAGGAGGAGGACCACGCTGCCCACGACCGACACCAGGAGCACGGTCGAGTTCGCACCATCACCGATGATCGGAGCAGGGACTGAGGGGACACCCAAATATGTCATCTTTAATAATAATAATGATAATAATAATAATAATGATAATAATAATATCAATAATAATAATAATAATAATGATAATAATAATGATATTAATAGCAATAAAACAATAACAATAATAATAATAACGATAATAATGATAATACCAATAATAATAATAATAATAATAATAATGCTAATAATAATAATAATAATAACGCTAATAATAATAATAATAATAATAATAATAATAATAATAATAATAATGATAATAATAATAACGGTAATAATAATAATAATACGTTTATTTTGAGCAATTAAGTGTAACAAGAAACAAAAGTAAAACATAAACAAAAACCCTGAGTTATATTTACATAATACTAAATTATAAATATAACATAAAGAAAAGGAGGGGGAAGAAGATTGTTTTTTAAATTATGTTCGATCTTGTTTAAAGGTCAAACTCTAAGTTTGTGATCAATAAAAAATATATAAACTTCTTCGTGTCCAAAAAAATAATTAAAAAAAATAATTTTCTGAAGGAAACAAACATCATGGAATCTGTTCTAATCTAATTATTAAAAGTTAAGTTTGGACAAATATAAACTTGTTTATATTCCAAGAAGATTGAAAATAAAATCAAATAAAATTGATTTGTGTAAATACAAAAATATGTAAAAAAAAAAAAAAAAAAGAGAAAAAAATAAATAAATAAGATAATAGAATTAACCACTTTAGTGCTTTTGGCTCCAACAAACTGATGTTTTTAAAGGTTTGAAGGTGTTTAGTGTCCTCACCGGAGTTGGTCATGAACTCAAAGGGGGCGCTGAAGTCGCCGTATCCGGCCGCGGTCCGCGCTCGCACATGGAACACGTAGGAAGTGAGCGGCGTGAGGCCTTTGATGTCCGTGTGACGCGCCGAGGTCTTGATGATCCTGTAGCTGCGCTCGTTCTGGTCCTGACCACAGAAAACACTACGTTCAGATCCAAGACCCCAAACGATCAAGACCGAGATTCGGAGACAATCCAGTGTTTTTACAAGTTTGAAACCAACTCAAAACGCAGACATGAACAACGGTAAAGAATCTGCTTAAAGGAGATGTCTGTAAACATGTGGCCAAAAGTGGTACTGCAGCCTCTGCCACTCTCCCTGACTCAGGTTGCCAGATATGCAGACTAATCCAGCTGGGACCATAACAGCTGAATAGACAAGAGTTTTGTCAACAACAAATCTATAACCAACACCTTTTTCACAAAGATAGAAATCCTGGTTTTATTCCTTGTTTTGTCGTTAATGATTTGAGAATCATAACGAGACCTTTTATAGTTCTGCGCCACATGGTACTTTACCAGTGAGATTATCTCCACGCGGTGAGTTCTGGCGCCTGAATCACAAACTTTCTGATTGGTGAAACAGTGGAGGGCGGGACATCGAAATGAAAACATAACAAGATTTAGGGGCTGGAAAAGTAATTTAGAAATTCAAATATCTCTGAACTACTGTAAAGAAGTATTGGAAAAGAACAGTTTATCATTATGACAGATTAGGGCCCTTTAATGATGACAGATTAGGGTCCTTTGACAGATTAGGGCACTTTAATGATGACAGATTAGGACCCTTCAATGATGACAGATTAGGGCCCTTTAATGCTGACAGATTAGGGCCCTTTAATGCTGACAGATTAGGGCCCTTTGATGATGACTGATTACGGCCCTTTAATGATGACAGATTAGGGCCCTTTAATGATGACGGATTAGGGCCCTTTAATGATGACAGATTGGGGCCCTTAAAAGCCGTCAAATTGACTGCTATGGGAGTTCTAGTGTTTCCACATGGCATCCATAAATATTTATACAAGTCCACCTTAAATGTCCTCCTTATGTGTAAAACCCAGTGGGAAAAGTGATGGACAAATATTTACAAATTCTGTCTGTGTATTTGTATATTTAAATGTATTCTGTTCCATTTGGAGGTACCTTCTCGTAGTACTTGACCTCGTACTCCAGGATGACGCCGTTTGCTCGCTCGGGCGCCATCCACGAGAGCGAGATGGTGTGGCGAGTGATGTCCTTCGCCTGGATGGACGTCACCGGAGACGGAGCTGGAAACACAAGGAGGATTTTAGCTTTCGTTTCAGTCCATACCGTAGACATTCTTTTGAAAACTTAGGAAAGAGGTAGGAAAGAACCTTGTGAGTCACTCTTTGACTTTCTGGGCTGAGAACTGATTGGACTGAGTGAGAATTATCATCTGTGTTTTCACTTTCCCGTCTCAATGAGGTCAGGCAGAGACCAAACATACAAACTAGTGATAGAACCGAAACCAGTCTGTTTATAGAGCCAGGAACTAGTCACATGGATTTTATATAGTTTATATATAGAATTTGTATAGTTAAACCTTGTGTGTTTGTAAACTAAGGTACCCCAGCTTTAATGCCTTCAGATCTGCCCATTGGAGAAGCAGTTTCATCTCGTTTCTCTGGATCTCGTCTCGACCTAAAGTTCCAGTTTAGATTCACAAAACAAGGGTCTGTCTCTCTCTGTCTCTGTCCTCTCTCTCTGTCTCTCTCTCTTCTCCCTCTTTGTTTCTCTCTCTCTCACTTCTCTCTCCCGCTCTCTCTGTCTCTGTCTGTCTCTCTTTCGCTGTCCTCCCTCTCTCTCTGTCTGCTCTCTCTCTCTCTGTCCTCCCTCTCTCTCTGTCCTCTCTCTCTCTGTCTCTCTCTCTTTCTCTCTGTCTCTCCCCCCTCCCTCCATCTCTCTCCCTCCCCCCGTCTCTCCCTCTCCCTCCCTGCCTCCTTCCCTCTCTCTCTCTCTCCCACCCTCTCTCTCTCCCACCCTCTCCCCCTCTCTCTCTTTCTCTATGACCCACTTGTCTCTCCGTCGCGCTGTCCGTAGATCCATACTATAGCAGCGTGGCACAGTGTAGTTTGATTTGTGGACAGTGACACACACGCCCGGGCGGAGACAATACCGGCCTTTCTTAACCTTCAGGTGTTGGAGCAGAGGCTGAGATATGGCCTCATTATCGTCCGCGGAGGAAGAGAGCAGATAACATCGCTCACTCTGGGGTTTAATGTTCACCAATTGATTCACGCTCCACGGAAAACACAAAAGGTAAAAGAGGCAAAGAGCTCATTTTCTAAAGGTAACAGTACGTATGAGTAGAAGGGCGACGGGGAAGTGGGTGATTATACTGACGGGAGAGACCTTAGGGTGTGAACTGAGAGAAATGATACAGTGGTATAGGGCTGGGCGATATGGCTGAAAACTATATCACAATATAAGTAATTCATCGGTCGATAACGATATATATTGATTGTTTTGTGTAGAACCTAAATAAATACATCTGTGGCGTCGGCAAACACATGTTAGCAGCCCTTGTTTATAGTCCTGGGGATTGAGGCTGGAGGAAAATGTTCACACTGTGTCCCCCATTGTTTGGCTGTTTTGGAATGAGAAAAGAAACCAACAGATGTAAAAACAAAACAAAAAATAATGTATTTCCTCATATTTTACCATTTTTCTCAGTGACATTCAGAGCACCGTCCTGAGACTAACTCCAAAGAAGGACATATCGCGTCTAAGTCGTAACTAAAAACTCACAAATTCCTAGCGTTGTTTTAAAACCGCCTTAAAATCTTGTCTTCAAAGTCCAGAGCGAGGATCATTTTAACCTCTGGTCCTGGACCCGAAACCGAAACCCGAGCGCCGCCTTTTAAAGAATTACAGTTGGGATGATTAATGAGGGCGCCGGCATTTGGCGATTACGATTGGATTAGCCACGACATCATATACATCCTCGTCTCTGCGGCTTCGGCCTCCAGGGGGGACATGCTAACGCTAACACATGCTAGCTGTTCAAAGAGGGGGGTATTGAGTTCAAACGCACCCGGAATCCAAGCATCGGTCCTGGGATAGAGTTACAGAGAGATACACAGAGTTACACAGAGATACACAGAGTTACACAGAGATACACAGAGTAACACAGAGTTACACAGAGACACACAGATACACAGAGTTACACAGAGATACACAGAGATACACAGAGTTACACAGAGATACACAGAGTTACACAGAGATACACAAAGTTACACAGAGTTACACAGAGATACACAGAGATACACAGAGTTACACAGAGATACACAGAGATACACAGAGTTACACAGAGATACACAGAGATACACAGAGTTACACAGAGATACACAGAGTAACACAGAGTTACACAGAGACACACAGATACACAGAGTTACACAGAGATACACAGAGATACACAGAGTTACACAGAGATACACAAAGTTACACAGAGATACACAGAGATACACAGAGTTACACAGAGATACACAGATATACACAGAGATACACAGAGTTACACAGAGATACACAGAGTTACACAGAGATACACAGAGTAACACAGAGTTACACAGAGATACACAGAGATACACAGAGTAACACAGAGTTACACAGAGACACACAGATACACAGAGTTACACAGAGATACACAGAGATACACAGAGATACACAGAGTTACACAGAGATACACAAAGTTACACAGAGATACACAGAGATACACAGAGTTACACAGAGATACACAAAGTTACACAGAGATACACAGAGTAACACAGAGTTACACAGAGATACACAGAGATACACAGAGTTACACAGAGATACACAGAGTTACACAGAGATATACAGAGATACACAGAGTTACACAGAGATACACAGAGATACACAGAGTTACACAGAGATACACAAAGTTACACAGAGATACACAGAGATACACAGAGTTACACAGAGATACACAGAGTTACACAGAGTTACACAGAGATACACAGAGATACACAGAGTTACACAGAGATACACAGAGATACACAGAGATACACAGAGATACACAGAGATACACAGAGTTACACAGAGATACACAGAGTAACACAGAGTTACACAGAGATACACAGAGTTACACAGAGATACACAGAGTTACACAGAGATACACAGAGATACACAGAGATACACAGAGATACACAGAGTTACACAGAGATACACAGAGATACACAGAGTTACACAGAGTTACACAGAGATACACAGAGATACACAGAGATACACAGAGATACACAGAGATACACAAAGTTACACAGAGTTACACAGAGATACACAGAGTTACACAGAGTTACACTGCAAAAAGTCATAAAGAATGAGGTAATAATTGCTTAAATCAGAATCAGAATCATTTTTATTGCCAACGTAAGTAACGGGAGGTCACAGACTTGGAAATTGCTTTGGCTCAGTGCAACAGTCAAAAAGAGATAATAAAAATAAGAATAAAAAACACTTCTAAAGAATAAATTTAAATTTAAAATAGAGTTACAGTTACTATTTACAATATACAAGTGCACATGGTGCACACAATGTAAGGTGACAGCAGTACAGTGAAGTAAAGTGACGTATGATGGGCAGTAAAGTGACTTTATAAAGGGCGGGGGGACAGGTTAAGAAGTGTTCAAGAGTCCAACAGCAGAGGGGAAGAAACTGTTCTTGTGGCGGGAGGTTCTAGTCCTGATGGACCGCAGCCTCCTGCCTGAGGGGAGTGGTTGGAATAGTCCATGTGCAGGGTGAGAGGGGTCGGCTGTGATACGACCAGCCCGGCCTCGAGCTCGGGCGACGTACAGGTCCTGCAGCGATGGAAGGCTGCGGCCGATCACTTCCTCTGCAGAGCGCACAATGCGCTGTAGTCTCTGTTTGTCCCTGACTGTGGCTCCAGCGAACCACACGGTGATGGAGGAGGTGAGGATGGACTCGATGATGGCCGTGTAGAACTGCACCAACATCTGTGCAGGCAGCTTGGCTTTCCTGAGCTGCCGCAGGAAGTACATCCTCTGCTGGGCCTTCTTGATGAGGGAGCTGATGGTCGGCTCCCACTTGAGGTCCTGGGTGATGGTGGTGCCCAGGAAACGGAAGGACTCCACAGAGGTGATGGGGGAGTCCATCACGGAGGGTGGGGGCGGGGGGACAGTGCTCTTCCTGAAGTCCACAATCATCTCCACTGTCTTCTGGGCGTTCAGCTCCAGGTTGTTACCACTGCACCAGGACACCAGCCGGTCCACCTCCCTCCTGTAGGCGGACTCATCATTGTTGGAGATGAGTCCAATGAGGGTGGTGTCGTCCGCGAACTTGATCAGCTTCACGGAGTCGTGGCTGGAGGTGCAGTGGTTGGTGTACAGGGAGAAGAGCAGGGGAGAAAGAACACAGCCCTGTGGGGCTCCTGTATTTATAATCCGAGAGTCCGAGACATTCTTCCCCAGACGCACTCGCTGCTTCCTGTCCGTCAGGAAGTCAGTGATCCACCTGCAGGTGGAATCGGGCACGTTGAGCTGGGAGAGCTTGTCCTGGAGCAGGGATGGCAGGATTGTGTTGAAGGCAGAGCTGAAGTCCACGAACAGGACCCTGGCGTAGGTCCCCGGGGAGTCCAGGTGCTGTAGGATGTGGTGGAGGGCCAGGTTAATGGCGTCGTCTACAGATCTGTTGGCTCTGTAGGCGAACTGCAGGGGGTCCAGGAGGGGGGAGGTGAGGGACTTGAGATGGGAGAGAACCAGGCGTTCAAATGACTTCATGACGACAGACGTAAGTGCTACAGGTCTGTAGTCATTGAGTCCTGTGATCCTGGGCTTCTTCGGGACGGGGACAATGATGGAGGATTTGAAGCAGGCCGGGACATGGCAGGACTGCAGAGAGGAGTTGAAAATGTCCGTGAACACAGGAGTAAGCTCACTGGCGCAGTGTCTCAGAGTGGCCGGAGACACGTGGTCCGGGCCAGGAGCTTTGCGGGGGTGCAGCCTCAGGAAGAGTTGTTTAATCTCTTTAGCGGCTATTGTTAGGCTGGGGGCAGGGCTGATGGGTGGGTCGTTAGAGTAGTGGGGGGTGGGGGAGGGAGAGGTGTCAGGGGCAGCATCAAAGCGACTGAAAAATAAGTTCAGATCGTCAGCTAGCTTGTGGTCATCAGCACAGGGGGGGGCTTTGGGTTTGTAGTTGGTGATCTCCCGTAGGCCCCTCCAGACAGAAGCAGTATCGTTGTTACCAAACTGCTCCTGTAGTCGTTCTCTGTGCCGGG